CTCTGCTTTTTACTTGATGTTTTAATTGATTAGGAAGAAAACATCTATTGCAGGAGCCTTTTGGGACTGCAGCAGAAGCTCTATTCACTAGTACTTTAATCCCTGCTTTCCTTTCACCACAGAGAAAGCTCTACTCTATTCTCTGGAAATGTTTGTATTTGTACATGAACATGGGCAGCTGTAGAATTGCCTAATGAGCAGGCATGTTAGATTGGTTTAATTTAGCTCTGGGTATTTTGGTTTGTAGGACTGGACATGAACAAAACCTGCTTTTGTGCTGAGAAATGTGGATGACCTTTTTCTGGACAAAAGTCGCCCAAGATTTTTAGCTACAGGGCATCTTCAGAAATAGTCGTGTTCTATAAGTGCTTTCTGGAAGGTTGAAAGCCCTTATGAGAGTATCCCTTTCATTTGCATTCTGCACTCATACCCTTGCTGGAGTTCAGCAGAGAGGTGTTCTGTTCTGTTCTGAAGTTGTTGAAATGCTCAGCTAAAACCAATAGGACTTACTGCCCTTCAAGAGGTTGTGGCATTGTTGTATTATAACTACTTGCCTTACAGACATGAAGGAATCTTCCCTTTCTGTAAGTCCCCTGAACAACCTGGTTCCATATCTGGGAGACAGAGTTGCCTTCTCTATCCTAATCAGGAGTCACTGTGCTGATGAAGACTGGAGAACTGCTGCTTAACAAACTGTCTTTTTTGTTAGTGAATGGTTAGTGAATAGTTAGTCTCTTTTCTTAGTTAAGGAGTGTTAGTGAATGTTACAATCTTTTGTGAGATCATGAGGTGCAGGACCCAGAGGGCAGCAATACCTGTTGGAAGTGACTGGGCTGACATCTGGGAACCACCAATTTTGGTGTGAAGTAGATGATCCTGTGCTCATAACTTCATGCTGGCATCAGATTTGATAGCCTGCAAGGACTTTCTCTTTGACTGCTGGTGTCTGGATAAAGGATTCCTTCCTCTGTAGTGATGAATTGCCTCACTAAGGACAAAGTTGGATCTTTAATGGGAGAATAAAAGACATTAGTGTAGGCTTGAGTCTTTACTGCAAAATGTTCTGTTGGGTGTTGTGCCCTTGGGTTACCCACCCACTTCTCTACCTGGAAGGTATTACCTTCTGTTTGATAGATCAAATTGTCTTTTTAAAGGCAATTGCCTGAGGCTCTTGCAAATGCTGGGTTGCATGTAACTCCTGCAAATGAACACATTGCTGCTTCTACCAAATAACAAAAGAAATGGAGGAGGGAGCAGAAAACAGAATTGTTTAAAATCCATTCCTTACTAATCTCGTTTAAAATCTTGTTTAATTGTGTTTAAAGCTGTACCATGAGACATAGAAATATATTGCTTCTAATCTTGACCTTTTGTTTTTTTCTTCCTTTCTGAAACAAATAGCTAAACCCCTTTTGACACCTCTGGTCTTCCTTGCTATCCTGTTCATTCCTGTATATTGTTTTACTGCTCCCTGGTGTTTTGGTAGAACTTTCTAACTTCATATTGCCATCAGATTTCATAGATATATCACTGCTTTCCTGTTCCAGGATCATTTATGAAAATATCAAGTAAAATTGGTGCAAACACAATTCACCATCTTCCCTTAAAGAATTGTTTACCCACTTTGGTTCTTGTACTGATGCCCCATCTTAATTTAAATAGCACCATATGGGAAACTATGTATTATTATAAAGTGCTAAAGAAGATCAGAGAGATGGTTTTGATGATTAAATTTTTTTCAAATGCACTTTGTTGGTGAATTTGGATAACTGTAAAAGCGTAGGTATTATAATTATATTGGTGGTAAAGCAGCTAAGCTGTCCAGTTAGCTTTGGCTGTAAAAAGACCAAAACCTTGCATTTTAGACCTGTTCTCTATCCACTGTTCTTCTTCTTCCTTCAGGATGAATGTAATAATGCAATAATACTAAAGGTATTGAAGCATTTCCACACTCTTACGCTGTATTCTTTGTTCTCTTGCTTGTTCCTCCAGATAGAATGCTGTTGTAAAATGTCTGTTGCTGTTTTCCTGTTGCCTTGTCAGGCTTGTACTCCCTTCTCTCTCCCTGTTCTAAGCCTGAGGGAATGGCCAAATTAGCAGAAGTTCAGGCTGACAGTGCCCCTGGGACTGAAACTGTAGAAAATCAGAACAGGAGTTACTGGGTGTGAACCTGCTCTTCAGCAATAGCAGTTTTCAGTGTGAAAGCCAAAACTGAAGTGCAGAAATCCCAGTGTCCTTGGTGCCAAAAGCTATTTCTGCTCTTCATGTGTTTGAAAGGGCTGCATGCTCAGCACCAGAGGCTGTGCACAGGGGCGGTGCTGAGAGCTGGAATTGTTAGGACAAGCAGGAGTACTGGCTGGTGGGTTTATGGGGCTATGTGATTACCTGGCAGGACGTTGCCTTTTCTGCCTGAAACATATAAGATTTTTTCATATTTAGATTATAGAATGGAAAGACCCCAGGAAAACAATCAACATTTGTTAAGTAATCCAGCTCATCTCTTGTGTGAATGTGACATCATCTGAGATTTTGTGGTTGCCAGGCTACCCCAGCTGCTCTGGGCTTGCATGGCAAAGCCTCCCCTACTTTAAAGGGGGATGTGTGTAAAATACAGTGGCACAGGTTGTGCTTTATAGAATCACAGAATTGCTTGGGTTCAAAAAGACCTTTGAGATCACCAAATCCAACCATTAACCTGTGCACTTGCTTCGTTAATGCTATTAAGCATAATTACTCCCTCCTCTTTTTAGCATTGACTTGTTTTTTTCAGAATCTTGGTTAATAAAAGTCTTCATCTTGTAGAGGCTGGTAGTTCTTACATGTTTTAAAATATCAACATGGCAACTTGTTAATTCAGAGCTGGATCCTAGTGCTGTATATCATTTATGTTTTGATCAAGGGAAAACAGTTTGTGGAGGAGATGAAAAGGGAGATGACTGCAGGGCTTCTGAGTGTTGGCAAGAGGGAGTATCAGAACAGTTTTTGATGTAGTTCTATAAGATACAGGTCCTACATATGAAAAACAAACTACTGCTTGGCCCTTAATTTTCTCCTTTGAAAGATAACAAATTAATTGTGAAGGGTATAAAAATAAATGTGCTTGCTTTTTGTAAGCATTGAGTTAGTTTTTAAGGATGTTACCAAGAGGAAGTTAGAACCTTCCCCCCTTTATTTTGGCCACTTTTCCTTCTGCATTGCAACTGTGAAGCAAATCAGATTACCGAGAAGTGGAATTCATATAACAGATGAGGAATTTTTATTAGTCCTCTTTCTTTTACCTCATGTGCAGGTGTAGAGGCAGAAGTTGCTTGGGGCACAAAACTGAAATATGCTTCTTGATATGCTTCTAGTAGAAGACTGGAGGAATTTTATATGCTGATGCTCCATCCAAGTAGAATTTGAACTTTCCAAACCCTGGTGACATAATCCTATAGAGCTGATCAGTTGACTGAGTGGGACAGGCAGCTGGTGTTGCTCTTGGCTCTTCCTACTTTGTTGTCTAATCCTTTAAGAGAAGCTTTGAAGAAAAACTTAAGAGGCAAAATTACCCAAACCAGAATTAATGAAGTCAAAATTGTCATTTTGAGTCATCTCTTGCACTTAGACACTTAGGATCATTTGAATGGAGGAAATAATTTTTATATATTATAAAGACAAGGACTGGAGGATTCATCGTATTTTCGTATCAGTTAAATAAATGTGGTTAGAGGATCGACAGATGAAAGAAAGCATTTACTTTTATCTGACCTTCCTAGGGAATCAGATTTTTACCAGAAATTAAAAATACTACACTCTGCCCTTCAGGTTTGTTTTCCAACGCTTGTCTAGACTTGAGACACTGATTTAAACCACTGCATTGACACTAGTGTGCGATGTATTTTTATTTCCATCTTGTTCTGAAGACACTTCTCTTTAAGTGCCTGTTAGGCCATGCTCTAAAGTTAGGAAGTCCAGAGAGCTGGGGTTTTTTTGCTGAATATCTCAAAGTGTCTTATTGAAGAATGAGAGCTTGGCACAGAGTGTTCTTTACAAGCCTTTATCAGACATAATTCTCAAGTCATTCAGGTCTTTCTGCTATAAATGCCCACTTGAAAGACCACACAGATTTGTAAAGACTTGGAGATAGTTATTGGATGGTAATAACATCTTTCTGTGCTTAGGGGAGATGGATTTGATGGTAATTATGCACAGTTCATAGCCTCAATTGAAAAAAAAAAAAAAAAATCCAATAGCTGAGATAGTCCACACACTGAATTCTTCTGGAAAAGGTTTCTTCAGGCTAGAGATAAAAGCATTACTTAGCAAAGCTGTATCTGTTCCCTGGGCAAATGGGAGCCCGTGGTTTGAAAGAAAATACTGCACTTCCATTAGAGAATGGAACGTTTTGAAGACGTTAGTTTATAAAGGGTGTTTAAGTGATCTGGGGGGGAAGAGGGGGAGGCAAAAACCTTTTAACTGGCCTATTAAAACAATTTTTATTCTTAAAAGCAGAGTAATGAATATCTAGATGTAAAGATAAAGAATATCTAAATGTCACTTTAAAAGGACAGTGTGATGCATAGGGCAGTATTGAACAGTTGGGTTCCTCATACTTCAGAGAAGCTCAGTAAGTCCCTTTAAGCACTCCCAGGGTTTACAGGGCAGCAAAACCAGAAAAAAAATGTGATCTCTACATGCCTTTGGTGACAGACCTATGATTACTTTTTGAAGTCCTGCTTCTTAGAAATATATGAAAGCAAGGAATTATTGGTTTTCTTTAAAAACTGATTGCCTTATGGTTGCAAAGGAACATTTTAAATCTACCATTTAAATGTTTAGCCCATTTCCACTTTCAGTCACAGAAAAAGAAGAAAACACAGCTTTTTCTTCTTTCTGTCTTCTTTTCCCTTTTCTATTATTTCATGGATATGGAGAATGACAGTTTGGGTACTGCATCTATCCACTGTTTGTTAAAGAAAGTAATTGTGGCACATGTTTCCCTGTATCCCTTGTTATTCCAGGTGCTGAGGATGTTGTGATGGCATTTTCCAGATCAGAGACAGAAGACAGAAGGCAGTAACTACAGGATACCTGAACAACACAGAACTGGAGAGGACAGTGAGATTCCCGAAGATAGAGGAGGATTGCTGAGCATTAATAAGTTCCTTTGCCCACCCTATTTGTTCCTTGGTATTCTTTCTCCTTGTAATTTTGTTTCCCTTTGCCCAACTCTCAGAATGTATCTCACAGCCATCTGTTCCTATCAGTTTTTGCTACTCAGCTGGGCTGTGTTAATTAAGGACAAACCTAAGGGTGTGTTTTTGATTGGCTCAAAGGGACAGGCTAAAGGAAGACAATTTTTCAAACTTGACCAATGAAAATCTTTTATCTCACATTTTATTTTGTATTTTAAAGAAAGTCTCTTGAAATCTTCTAAAGAAGCTTTTCATGCTGTGGTGCTTATTTAGGTCAAACTTGTGAATTTGAAGAGGGTTTGATTTGGCTGCATAGAACTGGAAGCAACTTCTGATTGGTTGACAATGCAAATGCTTTCTCTTCAGTTGGCTTGCAGGTATTTTGCTGACTTTGACATTTTCATTGCAGAAAGCTGATGTTTTGGTGCATTGGTTATTTCTTTACACTTACTGACTTGGGGGGGGAAAAACCCACAAATGTGCTTTGCAATATTTATTACATCTAAACATAAATGCTTGCTTTTGGGGGTTTGTTTTGGTTTTTTGATTGGCTTTGAAGTCATGCTTTTGATTTCCTATTGGCTGCAGTGTTTCTGGTGCAATCAGTTTTTCCACTCTCATCTGCTCTGTGGCCTCAAGCTCTTTTGAGAGCATGTGTCAAGCATTTTTAGTTCAATAAGTCTACCTGTTTAAGCTGAAACATGGAGATCACCAGCCATGCTGTGCTACTGTGTGGGCTGTCCTATGAACTCCTGGGAGACCTGGCTATTCAGGTGGCTTCTCTCTTTGCTTCTGACAGAGGAGCTGTAGATATTTTGCAGGAATTGCAAGACTGAGATCTATGGCTGTGACACAAATTTGCCAAATTTGTATAGAGAGTATGTGAATTTGTTTAAAATACTACATAGCGTTCCACTTTAACCCTTTAATTGCTGCACAAGATTAGGTCTCACATAAGAAAAAATGAATTCTTATTAATTTAAATCCAACTTGCACTGGGCTTTAATAAACTAAGTTTCTAGTCACTTGAAAAATGGTATGTGGTTTGGCTTCTTGCAACTATTCAGTGACATGGAAATTATCTGGGTCCTAAAATAATCCCATTTTCCTTGGGCAGTTCCAAGAGGCAGTAGCACTGCATTAAACTGTCCAATAATGAGCATACAGGTGACACTCTCAGGTTTACAGTTTTAGTTGCAGGGCTTTAAAACACACGTGCACATTTAGAGACTGAAAGACCTGCAGTGAAATTCCCAAAGTGCACTGACTGTTCAGGAATCTGCACATAACACTTCTAGCACTGCTGCCTGAAACCTAGCACTTCATTTTCTCTCACATGTGCAGGTTATTGTTACAATACTTCTAGTTTTTCCTGTGGGTTGCACTGACTCTGAGATGTTTCAAAATCTATTAAAGCAGAACTTCCTTCACCTGTTCCTGGTTCTTTTCATGTGGTTTTTCATTATTTGATGTAACAATTCCAGAATGTAACTGTGACAACGTGACCACTTTCGTGGCAAGAAATTATGATGGCAGGATGCTGTTATGGTCTCAAAATGGGAAGCAGGCTTGAGAGAACCCATGGAATGTATGCAAAAGGAAGAATGGACTCGTGAGCACACAGAGGGAAATGATCTTAACCAAATAAATTGTGTAATGAGAACAGTTCTACATGTGTTTATGAAAAAAGATCCTTTTGATTCAGTTGCAGCTTTCTCTAGTTCAATGTGAAAGTAAATATCTAACCTGTTTGGGGCCAGATAAGAAACTTCCATATTAAAATAAACCAGGAGTCAGCCCAAAAGAGTCTTTACGTTTTGACCTGCTTGCCAAGAGGCACTTTAATTTGAACTTTGGTGCAGAGGGGAGCAGCCCTTAAAGGGTTAATTTAAGAGAATATGTGTGTTTATGGCTGGAATTAATGGGCTGGATTGTGGTGGCCTGTCATTGCCAAGCTAAGGTGAATCCTCCATGTGTATCTATGGCCTTTCTGAGCTGTTAAATCTTTTCAAGGAAAAAAGTTCATGTGGTTGGATCTTTGCACAAAAAATGTAACTGTTGAGGGGAAATACAGTTTTTAATAGCTACTCTTGTTTCTTATTAATTTATTATGCTGTTGAACTACCAAATGGAACATACTTGCTTCACCTTTGTGGAAGATTTTTGTCTAGATTCCAAACATGGAGTCCTGAGTAATATATGAGAAGGATATATTGAGAAAAGGCAATGTCTTGTATAACAGCTTGATTTGGGATTCGGAAACTGGATGAGATTATGTCCATTGAGAATATTTGTGCTTGCTTTGTTACCTCTGTGTTCTCCCCTTTCCCACTAGCAATTTTTTTAAACATTAAACCAGGGCTGGAGGATTTATTATAAAAGAATTCATATACAGGAAGTGGTGGAAAAGAGGGCTTTCCAATATTCCCCTTGAATTATATTTCTAAATGTTCTTACTATGAAAACTACATTCCTATTACCACTGTGGAGCCTGCATTAACTGGGAGAAACCTGTACCCAGTATATCAGCATGGTTGACTTGTTTAGTCTACATACAGATTTCTCCAGCTTTACCTTTGTGCTTTTGCATTCCCAAGCAAATCATTATTAATAAAAATAAATGCAATTTTTTTGGAGGTCAGAGGTGAGTATAGACCTAATTTAAAATACTTTTGTAAATAGAAAAGGTTGAATAGTTCAACTACCAACCAAACAGTGCTTAAGGCATTCAGTAAGGGAATGTAAAAGCTTTAGAGGCAAAAAAGCACACGTCCTTTGAGTGGTCTTTTTGGGACACTTATTCCTTTAGATATTCAAGATGTGCTGTTGTACTTCTCTTACCAAGCTTGTCATCTGCCTGTCCTAACACCCTGCTTTTCCGAGCTTGAGAAGAAGATTTAGAGCAGAATCTTGGCCATCTGGAGAGAGGTGAGAGGAGTAGCAATGTCTGTAGTTCTTGGTAGGTCCTTGTGTCTGTCAGCACTACCCATTGTAAATGAAAATGAGACTTCACCATTCATGTAGGCCTTTAGATTGATTCTTCCAGGTTCTGAAATAAAATTGAGCTGGTGGCACAGCAACTCTTTGGAAGGAGTTATTGCCTGAAAGAAGCTGGAGCACTAATAAAATAAGCTCTTCAGATTTTTTTGTTCCTAATTGTATCTAAGGTAAGTAGTTACTGTAAGTTGTCTCCTCTTGGGTGTTCAGTGGCCTGTGTGGAAGGTGCTTTACCATTAAATCTGTTTCAGTTCCATAAGCTCTGTATTTCTAATTCACCAGAGGCCTAAATAGTTCTGGTGAAGACTAAAGATTAAATGGCCTGTGACTTTCAAAGACCCCACTCACCTATAGAAGAGATCATCCTGTATAAGACTTCAGGGCCATATGTGGGATACATTTCTATAGCTATTGAGAATCTGTTAAAAGAATAAAACAGTGTGATGTCTGAAGTTGTCAGTATTTTATAACGCAAGAGGAAAAAAAATGAAGGCCACATGCTGACAGCTTTGAATCAAATATATATATATATAATGTGTGTCAAATTCTTTCATGAAAGACATACTGAGTGCCTGGGTAATGAGGGGAGTGTATGATTTGGAGTACTTTTAAGATCAGGCCTTCAGCTTTCTTTTTGCTCCCTTGCCTTCTAAAGGACTGTGGCAGAGCTGACAGCAAAAAGGGCTGCAAGGCACTGGGACCAGCAGAAACCAACAGTGCAGTAAGAGCAGTTGCTGGAGATTTAAGAAATCTTGAGTTGAATTCAGTCTCTACAAAAGAAAAAGTCCTTAGTGAGTAAGCATCTCTTCCCCACTGGTGTTCATCAGTAAGTGTTTCAAGTTTTAGTTGGTATTAAAGAGACTTTAAAAGCTTTGTTTAAACTGTGGAATAGTTGGTTTAGGTGTAACAGGACCACTGAAGTGTTGCTGCCTTAGTGGGGTATTTGCTGAATGCAGTTGATGTTTCAGCTGCCAGCAGAGTGGTGTCTGGCCTCAGCATCAACCTGTTCAACACTCAAATGAAACTGGACCTGTTGGTTACTCAGTGCTGCAGTCAGAGGTGTGTTCTGTATGCAGGGCAAATCCTTCCCTGTCCACAGTATCAACAGGATGTAAACATGTATTTTAAATTTTCTTTTATGAATGGCCTTGCACAAAACTAGCTTTTAAAGGTACTAAGATATGTCAAATTTTAGTAATCATGAGCCAGGCACAGTGCTGATGGCTGTTTGTTGGGCAGAGTTCTTTCCTTGCAGTCTCAGGTGTAACATGATCAGTTTGCTAGTGTTTGTGTCCTGCAAATGTTGTGTCCTTTGTACCTCTGACTTCTTCAGAGCTACAGTAAGTAGGTCACTGGTTTGCTGTGGTTCTTCTTCCAGATCTGTCTTAGACTGGCTGGGTAAGTACAGCCAGTCTGAAGAGACACTTTGTACTACACTTCCCCTTAAAGCTCCTCATTACTGATGCTTGTCACAGTTTTAGAAATACAAAAGTGCTGTACAACAGGGAGGAGCATTATTTATCAAGGTAAGAGAGGAACTTGGATCTATTCCCTGTCAGACTTTTGTAGGTTCCCATACAAAGAAAATAAATCACCTACTCTCTTCTGAGCTCTGCCTTCATTTTCTTTGCAGCTGATTTGCCCTAAGCAGAATTCCTGCAGTATGTTATTAAAAACCTGGCTAGTTTCCTTTGTAGCCTTAAGCACTTCAATTTTGGGCATTGTTTATTTTGGAAAAAAGAAAAAAAAAAAAAGTTTGAAGCTGGCCTGCTTACAACCTGTCTCGTGTATCAGCATGAAATAGCTCTATGCACAGAGCTTTTTGCTGTCTTGACATTTTCCAGGTTAACTTGTCTTGCTACTGAATGCTTATCTGTGGCCAGCGGCCTGTGAAACTTGGAAAATAAGCTTTCACCCTTGGTTTAACAATTACAATACTAACTCCAGCCCAGATGTGGACTGATTCATAGAATCACAGGCTGGTTTGGGTTGGAAGGGACCTTAAAGCTCACCTAGTTCCAACCCCTTAGCCATGGGCAGGGACACCTCCCACCAGCCCAGGTTGCTCCAAGCCCCATCCAACCTGCTTACAACACTTCCAGGGATGGAGCAGCCACAGCTTCTCTGGGCAGCCTGGACCAGTGTCTGATGGTCTCAATACTTTGTGACTGATGGGTTTTGGGCTTGGCTTTGTTGTTTTTTTTTAACTCTGTGAAGGAATGGAAGGTTTCCATTATTTCCAAGGAAGGATGCTGCTTCAGAAGGGAGCAGCTTTGGGTGTTATTTATTTATACAAATTTTTGTCCCATGAAGCAGAAGTCTGTGTTGCTGCTGACTGTGCACTGTAGTCTGTTCTCAGCCTTCTTGTGACCTCCTAATAAGAGGGTCAGGTGAAAATTGCATTGAGTGTGATTGGAATGGATGGTGGTAGCCCAGCATTTTCCTTTGGTCTTTTGTCCTGAATCTCAAGTGCCTGCAGCTGACAGACATTAACTGCATGTTGCCTGATGGAT